TCACGCCTGAGATACGATCTGAAGCCACCCCAGATATCCCCTTCCACCATCAAATCCGTGATTTGGGGTAGAGTAATATTTCCAACCAGAGTAGCCCAAGTCTCCGCTGGAAGTTGCAGAGACCGAAGGGATTTCAAGTTCTGAAAGTACGAACCAAATAATTCTCTTCCTGTTGAGTTCGCCCATGATGGTGGCTTTAGATCGTATCTCAGGCGTGGCGACCCACCAAGTCAAACCTGGTTACGGCAGTTTCCCTGTTTACGCTCCCTTTCTTTACGGAATCGGAACCCGTACACTAGGTTGGGTTATCCTGGAGCAGAAGCAGAAGAATCACAGGTGGAGCCTTATCCTGCCAAATCGCTCACCCACCTGGTACTTCACGGGCAGATTCCGTTTGAGGTTCTTAGGGACGTCCAATTTCCCGTTTTGCAAGAGGTAACCATACAGCCAAATGACCGTGGTGCTCATCTATTCCAATCATCTTATGATGTTTCCCAGATAAACCAGATGAACCTCGAGCATGTTCCTTGTCTACGCCTCGAGTGTCAACCTGGCATACACTTTTGGGACCTTGGAAAAGGCTTTGAATACTCCCAATCCTTTCGTGATGAAATCATCCCGGGCATCTTCTCAAAGCTCGGAAATCTTCGGACCGTCTACGCTACTGGATGCATATGGAAGACGTTTGCTTGGATTTTTGATGCATGGAGTCTCGAATTCGAGGTTGCTTCAACCAAAAAATGTCAAGAATTTCATGCTATTTCGATGGAGAAGGTGCGAGATGCGATGGAAGGGAAAGTACCTGAAGATGGGGAAGGCTGGATACAATCTCTTTATCCAGATGATGAGTATGGGAATGATATGGGCGAATATTTGAGTAAAGAGACCTCCAGTTGATTAGAATTTTGTCATTATCTGTCCAATAGAAAATATTTACTGGAAGGCAGGATGTTTGCTTCATGAAGTATCCGAATTATCCAAAATTTCTTTATATTTTTAGCATAGGTTTGTTGTTTTTCCTGTTGGCCTTGAGAATATATCTCGGCGCTCTCATCTCGGTGCCGAAACACAACTTGGAGTCAACCATGTCCCAAACGTCAACTATTCCCAAATCTCTCGACCCATCTGATCAATTCCCAATGTCCTCTATATCACCTAGTTTCAGGACTTCGCAACGAGATGCCATACAGCAGGAATTGAGCGCTTTCCACCAACAACATCATCAGGTGTGTGCA